GTGGCGAGAGCACCTGGAAGAGGTACGATTCTACCTGGGGTTTTGTCCTCTTGGATGAAGTGCCAGGGTCTTCTCAGGTCTCCCACTGAACCAAGAGGTGTCCCCTTTCCTGCCCCAACCACCAACTCTTCCCTTCACAGGGAGCCCACTGGGCTGCCCTCTCCGCACACATGAGACTCAGTCCACTGCCCAGACTGAGTTAACTGCCAGGGATGGGCTCTCCCCCCGGCAAGGGCCTTTCGGCTGCTAGGAGCTGACCATGGGACTCCATCTCTTCAGACCAGGTAGCTTCCCAGACAAAAACATCATGGAAGGCCCAACGCAGGGAGACGGGCGACCACGAGGAGGGTCGTTATAATGACCTCACGTTCTTCCTCTTGCCTGCGGCTTTGTGGCGCCTCCAACTGCTTTTGTACACGAGGGTCTCACACTGGAAACCACTTAGGGGTGGTTGCTTTCAGGTGGCCAGGAGTGTGGACCGTCTTGGGTTGGGTCCATTCAGTCGATAGCTCTTTGGGAATTCTCCGAGCTGTATATCTGGTTCACCGTGGAGGCGCTGTACATAAGGGTCCCTGTCCTCGGCCATTCGCCAAGAGACAGCGGCCAGGCCTTTCTGGTAGCACACGTTGTCTTACTGCGTAGCAAGCTCTCGTCATTGTGTGTGGTTTCTGTGTGTCCGCGTTGAAGATCAGTGAAGCCTTGAAGAAAACCATCACCCCACTGAAATGCTTGTCTTTTTCCTGTTGCCGAAATAGCTGGTCCTTTTTCGGGAGTTCGAGATGTATAGCGTGTTCTGTTTGTAAACGTTTCCGATAGGCACCACCGTGAACAACCAAAAGATCTATTTTCTATTTATTTATTGTAAGCACTTCTAGGCGGCGGCGTCAAAGAAATGAAGAATTGTCTTCAGTGTCGTGTTGGGGCATGGTCTTTGGGCCCTTTGACAAGTGTGTGTGTCCCCAGACACCTCCGCTGGCAGCAGAGGACGTCAGCTCTGGTTTGGAAAGTCATGCTGTACCGTAGTAAACCGCCCAGGATGCCAGCCCTCTGTGTTCTCGTGTGTGCTTTTGTTTCCTCATTCGAGCGAGGCCCGTTTCAAACCAGCGCTCTAAGAAAAATGAGATGTCTTAAAAAGCACCTGTGTGAGGGTTCTCTAGAGAGATAAAACCAAATTGCTGATAATATAATATATTTATTTATAAAGATAATTAGATATATAAGAAGAAATGAACTGTTAAATTATATACAGATAAATATATAATACAAGAAAGAAACAGTTAAATTATAAAGCACTACAAATGGCTCACTGCCGTGAGAGAAATGTAAGACACTAGCAGTCCTTCCAGTCTCATCTGCTGCCAGATCTTCCTCTATTTATAGAGAGAGCTAGGCTATGTCAGCACAGCAGCCAATCACAAGGCAGGTCACCAACTGCCAGCCAGGTCAC